GACTGAAGGTTTTTAATAGTTTTTGCGGGTTTTAGGCTCAATAAGGCTTGACAAAGGCTTTTAAGAAATCAGAAGCTAAGTATGGAACACCAAGCATAGCATAAATTCATCAGTATTGTACAAATTAAACCTCCATCATCATTAATCATCAAAATCATTGTTATATCAATCAGTATCAGTTTTTTCATCATCAGAATTATCAGACCCAGTCGGCCGAAGGTCGACATCTTGGAATCTCTCAACCACGTCAGCAGCAATCTTGTCAGCGGCTTTTATCGCATCATTGATGAGGTCAAGAGCAGCTTCTTCGCTCGTCCCGTTTGCAAAGCCATCAATGGCATCAATGTCAACTCTTGGATAAAGGGATTTGGTCATCGCCAACGCCAGACTTGCTCCCATACTTCCAGCTTCTTTGATGTTCTTGAAGTAAGTATCCGGAGCGACTCTCAGCTTGTTGAAGATTTCGGCAGCATCAAGTGTACTCGGACCGGCGTTATTGAAGAACATGGCTTGGATGAGTGGAGTAGCAGCATTAGTGACTTTATCCCTGGCCCCTTCAAGCCTATTGATCTTGTCAACTAAGACATCAAACTGTGCCTGGGACTTGATCTTGCGGTCTGCATCAACAGATTCACATTAACGAATCAGCATATAGAAGATAATGGCTTTTGAGGTATTGATTATTGGTACCTTCAACCTCCTTTAAAGCTGAGTCCCTCTGTCTTGCCAGTTCTGCCTTATCATTTTCCAGAGTTTGAATCTGCTTCTCCAGTTGAGATATCTTGGCAGCTTGCACTACATTGACTCTGGTTAATCAAGATTACAAAGATAACAACATAAGTTAGTTGGGCAGAGTTTGTGTGTACCTTTTGATGAGCCGCTCAGTTCAAAATTGGATTCCTGGAGCTCAGCAATCCGATCCCTCAGATCATGTTCATTCTTCCTGGCAAGCTCTTTTGTCTCCTGCAGCTGATTCCTGGAGGCTTCGAGGGTCCCGAGATGAGGGACTAACCTCTCTAAGGTTGCCGTTTTAGCTTCGTTCCTAAGATGAATCCTCTGCAAGACAGTTTAATTAGCGCCTGGACTAAATGGCAAACGAGATGGTTGAGATCAGGCGCCAAAGAGCTTACATTTACAATGCGGGTGGCTTGGCTGATCGCCTTTTTCAGCAAGCATACTTCTTCATCTTCTTTTTGCTTATTTATTACAATTCCTTGAGGCTGCATGTTGTCATCCCACCACTTGACCAGGATGGGAGGGCGCGAATCCTCAGCTGCTTGTATCCGGAGGATCTCTTCTTCATCACCAATCATTGGCCCTAGTGTATCCATGAATAAAGATGAGGCGATCAAATAAAGTCTGTTGGATCGAAATGATTTCAGATAGTGTGTTTACCTATGATGATTCCCGGTCGGGGACGAGTGGACTCTTGTGTCTTCACGGGAGATCTGGTTTCTGAGTCATTGCCAGCATCCTTTCCGGGAGGACTGTTTGTTTGAGCTTCAACCTCGGGAATTTTTTGGCTTGGCCCTGCATCCGACTGGTTTCCAGTCGGGGGCTCCTGGTTAACTCCGACTCCAGCTTCGGCCGACTGGCTTGCGGTCGTGGGTTCGTTGCTGGGTTTTACATTGTCGCTGGCCTGCGGATTATCACTCGGGTGATCTTTTGCAGTCGGCTCGGTTTCTTTTGAGGAATCTGCTTCCATATTAGTCGGGTCAGAGTCTTTCTTAGAAGGATCTATGTCGGATGGTTTCCTACAAGTTTTGCTATCGGTGTTATTTTCATGATGAGAGAATATTAATACAAGGAAGGTTGTTATATGATTTGTACCTGGAAGACTTTCTAATTTTTGGTACAGGACGACTGGAGGTTTTCTTCTTCAGATTAGTTGGCTTCGGAGGTCTTCCGGTCGCTCCTTTATCTCTGAGCTTTCCGGTATCATCGCCTTCGTCGTCACTTAAAACTAGCTTCCTCTTGCGAGAATCTGACTGGCCGATTGGATCAGAAGCACTTGGTTGGGTTTCAGACCGAATTTTTGGTCCTCCTCTTCCCTGACCAGTTTGGCGGCGAGGTGATTGGTGTTGAGCGATTGGGGGATCCGACTTCATCAAAGCAAATTCCTGGGCGTGATATCCTTTATTGTTAACTGATTCAACAAACAGATAAGACCGTATTTTGTGGAAGGTTGGAACGTTTGAATACATACCGGTGGAGGAGGATTGAATGCATTGAACGGTACGACTGGCAGCAAGTGTGAATAGCTGACAACGATAGCATTTGAGAAGATCTTATACATCTTTTCCTTCATGACCTTGAAGTCAAGAGAGTCAGGATCTTCACGATTTGGGTCATGTTTGCCGTCAAACTCAAAGGCTGTGCGAGATCTCTCTTTGATTGGAGCTAACCGACACTTGATAAAGTGCTGGGTGATCTGTTCTCCTTGAAGGCCTTGTTCTTTTAGCTTTATCATCCTCTCCATCAGTTCCACTGCTTGCGCAGCTTCATCTCCCATTGGCAGTGAGTTCCAAGTATCCCGATAAACTGTAGGAAGACAGGAGTACTCGGGGAGAGCAGGCTCAGGGTTTTGAACATAAAACCAATTTGTGTGCCAGCCTTTGTTTGAGGTTTTGAAAGGCATAGAGAAGTATTTTTGGCTTAAGGTTCCCCTGAGTTGGAAACCAGCCCCCCCAACAACACATGGTTTGCTCTTGTTTGGCTGGGGCTTGAGGAAGAAGATGCGGCGGAACAAGGCAAAATGAGGCCTAATGCCCAGAAAAGCTTCGCAGGCATGAATAAAATTGGCAATATGCACTATGGAGTTTGGATTCAGATGATGCAAGTTGATTCCATAGAAATTTAGAATTCCCCGGAAAAATCTTGAGGTTAGAAGGGAGAAACCGCCACAGAAGAAATGAGCAAATACCACGATTTCATGCGTATTGGGGGTTGGGAATGCTTCGCCGAATGCCGGTCGCCACCCGATGATCTCCTTCGTCGGAAGAACGCCGTGTGCCACCATCTCCTTCAGATTATCTTCCGTCACATCGGAGGGCGCCCACTGACTCTCGAAGCTTTCTCTTTCTTCCGCCATGAATGTGAACTGGATGGTTTAATTTGGTCCGAGATATGGCTGGAAAAGGATGAGGAATCGGAGCAGTGGACGCGGGGAGAAATTTCGTGAAGTTTTTGAGGATGGATTGGAGCAGATCGATGAACCCTAGCTCCGACGGTGCGGTTTGCTACTGTAGCGAGGAGTGGGGAAATGTCGAGAGTCTCGGCGGGGAAGACGAAGCGACGCTTGGACTTTGGTGCTTTGTTAGGGTATCGGGAGTACTAATGGGCCTAGGCCTGTACAGTACTTCAGCCCAATATTATAATCAGCGTGGCCCGTTGTGATCCCTAGGGACTTAGGCGCTTTTTGCTTTGGCAATTTGTCCTCACAATGATGTGGCTCGATGCTGCTAAAATCCTTTTTAACGCGATTCAATAATTCTTTGGAATTATTATGATGCACATAAAAAGGTGCCCGACAGAAAGGTGTTATACCGTTTTTGTAAGCTTTCTTAGGCTGCAAAAGCTGTTTGGGTCGATTTAAGATGACTGGTTTATTAATAGTCATTCTTTTAGCATGTTATATGCTTATCTTGGTTATGGTAAGAGTCATAGCCTAGGCTATTAAACTCGTGAATTACCATGATTCCTTTTATCATGCTTGGTGGATCATTTTAAGAGTTTCTTACTCGGATTCCTATCAAATATGTCTATTTTTGGACCTTTTGAGTGTTTATCACTCGGCCCTTTTTGTATTTTTTATCCTTGATATGTTCAAGTTGAGAAGCAGTCGGCTGGGTATTTTACTGACTACCACGCGGCGTGCTTCGCTATAAAACCACTTGGTTCTTGACTACATGTTTAGTTTTTCAACTAACCACATAGTCGGGGGCTACACCTAATTAGGTGCATCTACTCGATGCACCATGTTTTATTTTCGCCCTTCACAGTCTTTGATTTTAGCACTCGGCAGGCTGGAGCAGGTTGAATTGAAGCACTCGGATTATTGTTTTTTGTTCTGAGATGGCTATTTCGTCGACTGCAAAGGTCTCGGGGGCTACTGTGGAGATTATGGATACCCCATATCTACATGACAGTTATAATTTAATCGGATATACGGTACCAAATATAGATATAATATCTTTATGAGGACTCGGGTTAGTTTTTAACTTGTATGTCAAGGAAATACCTGAGATCTTAGTCGGTTACGATTGTATTTTATTTGTAATTACATATTCCGTTAGGGATATGGACTGTACTATGTAAAGCGGACTCCTTCCCCTATATAAGGAGGGTCCGTGTGCCTCTCGGGGCACGATTCTTTTTCCCAGTTTATACAATCAATAACACACACGGCGGAATCATCCCCGGACAGGAGTAGGGTATTACTTCTTGAATAAGAAGGCCTGAACCTGTATAAAATTCTTTGTCTCCAAACCCATCCACTTTTCTAGCTTGATAGCCACCCCTTTTATTATTGCCGAAATCTTGTTTCGACACAGGCTAAGTAGAGGGGTAGTGGGCTAGGCCGAGACTGAAAAGGAAGGAAGAAAATGAGTTTTTAACACAAAACCAAAGAGTACATTGTATAGCAATCCAAAAACATTTTTACCCGTTGCAACGCACGGGTATTTTTTCTAATAAAGAAAAAATGCTGCTTGCTCAGCTCTTGTATGTCTGAAGTTCACCAGTCACCGCTGCCTTTTTTTATTTTTTTTCTTTTCTCTTACTCTTCTAATATTCTTTGTAAATGATGTGTTCTATTTGTAAATTTATTATATTTTGAATTTGGAAAAAAATGTGTAAAGAAGTATATCTTATAGAGCTATACACCTTAACATTCTTTTAAAAATTGATATATTCTATTTGCAGATTTATTTTATTTTGAATTTGGAAAAAGAATATGAGATGAAGTATGTACTGTACGATGAAAACATTATCAATCATTCTCTTTTTCTTTCTTTTTTTTTTGTCTTTTATTGCTTCTTCTCCTGGATGGCATCTGACAGCCGTCTGCGGGCGGAGAAAAGGGCGTTCGGAGGGAGCGCTGTGCCGGTGGAGAGGGAGAGGCTGCTGCACACAGAGAGATCCAGCGTGCGGAGGTCGGTGTCCGCCATGGAGCGCATGAGCTCGGCACCAGAGATGAACGCCGTGTGGCGTGGCGACGGGGGAGAGGAGCGGCACGGCGGCGGCCGGCGGGAGAGAGGAGGGCGCCTCGCCGGCCTCCCCGCCTCTCCCTCTTTGTCATCCGGTGAAGAGATGGGGAGATAAAGTAGGAAGGCCGAGGTTGCTCCTTTACTTTTTTAAGATCAAACCTGCCACGTGAGCACCATGTCAATGCCACATGGACGAAGACCTAGTTAAAAGAGTCATGTCAGATAAAATCGGGGACAAAACTACTGAGGTATGTTGTTTGCACCGTTTTAGTAAGTTGGAGCACGGGTTGCATCGAATCAAGGACGAAAATCAGACCACCATACCATGTACAGCCCACATATCAAAGGTTAACAGAAGAGCCCACCTAGTCCACCTTGTTTCTTTCTCTCGTTCTCCTCCTCTCCGTCACGCTCTAGCGCCGCCGCGCTTCCTCACGCCGGCTACCGGACTCCAACTCCGGTCGCCCTCCAGCAGCCGCTACTGCCAGGAATCGGTTCCCGTTGCTCAACACGAGGTGCCGCCGCCGGCCAAACTCTGGCGACGTATGGACTCTAGGAAGGTTTCCAGGCCTTCACTACTGGTGCGAGCCCTACTCCTCTCTGATTCCCTTGGCCAATTGTCCCTGGATGCTCGACTCCCTGCCGCCGCCGCCGCCGCCGCCGAGATGGCCGGTGCTGCCTGCCCCTGGTACCGCTTCCTTCCTCTACTCCCCTGCTTCTCCCTCTCTTCTTCTCTTTCTTTCTCTCTTCCCCTGATCCTCCCTCTCTCTCAGTCTCGTCCTAGCTCTAACCCTAGCCGTCGCCCCGCCTCTCCAATTGCCGCTGCTGCCGTGGAGATGACTGGTGCCAACCACCGCGCAACTCCGGCGGCTGCGTCCTATCCCCATTGGTGACCACTCAAACTCTCCCTTCCTTATCTGATTCTTATGACAATGTTCTGGTGTGATGTTCTCTCTTGTATGATGTTGTGCCGTGACATGCATTGGGGATAATTATGGACTAGCACTAATACTCAACTTGGTCATGTTGTGCTGTGCTTATGGTGGTCTCTGTTGGTTCTAGTGATTTATTTGGTTGATGCCTATATGCTATGAATGGATAAATGAATGCTCACAATTCTGATGCAAGTGCAGTACTGAAATGAAATTAGAAAGGATAATAAAAAAAGTTACACTAACATGATTAAGTCCTTATATATGCTAGCATATAAAAGTAACTGAAATACCGGAATCAGTAGCACACTAGAATGATCAGAACCACATATATATGTTTGCATGTTGAAATTATCTAATTTCTCAAATTAGTGACACAGTAATAAAATCAGATTTGAAAATAAGATTTATATTGAATAATGCAACAATTACATGGTTTTATACTTTGATAATCATGGCAAAAACCTGCACTATAGATAATAGAATTATAACCCATGAAATCTAATCTTGAATACAAATAGATGGTGACTGATTTCTTTGAATGATTTATTTCTACTGTCTTTATGTCCTGATTATTACCCTATATGATTTACTGAACAATAGGTTAACTTATGAAATACTTTATTAGAATTTTGATAAAGGAAGAGTTTAACTACTGATAAACTGATAACTATATGTTATAATTTTATTTTGATGCCCTGTCCTAAACATTTGCTTTATTGTATTAAATGATTTGCTACAAAAACCTACTGTATTGCCCCATAACTCTAAAGGCTCAATTTAATTTATTTACGATGAAACCAACAACTGCATTGTTTCTATATGTTTTACTGTGTACAATTCTGAACTAGTGATGGCACCGAACTTCTATAAAGCTCCGAAGATTTTAAACAATCAAGTTATAATTAATTCCATTATTCTTCCACTCAAGATTTATTATGCGGTTCTTTGATGACTTATGATTTATAAAGGAAACTACACATAGATATAAATCCTTAAATCAAATGCACTTTTAGATCACGTAAAAGATACCTCGTGCTGTTTGCTATGTAATTAGATGGTTGATCTATACTAGAGTTATCTTACTGGGAATCTATTTATTTTGTAATGATACTAACTTGCTGACAATTACTCGTCAAAACTATTCCTTGCTTAATGAACTAGGAATGTATATACTGTGCTCCAATTTAAATCCTGGTTTTGGTCTTCCGGTTATAGCTGAAGTGCTCATACTTATTTTTACAAGGATGCATATATATACTATATAATTCACAACACATACTACTAGTATATGCACAGATTCAATTGCATGCCAGCAATGGAGTTTATTGTTCAGGTTTAATGGATATAATTATTGCATGCACACAGCTCCTAAACATACTAGCATATGCATCACACAACAATCATGCCATGATATGATTTCTGTTCCATTTTAATCTCTTGATTACCTGTTTAATGGCTCTAGTGAAGCTGTGAAGGTTGAGTGATTCTCTTGCTGCAACTGTAGCTTCACCCCCTTACTGGAATTGGGCACTTGAATATTTCTCCTCCTTGTGCTGAAGCACCAGCTGCTCCTCCAGAAACTGAAATATTTGGGCACTTACTTCTTCTTCTTGAGCTGGATTGCAGGACCATATATTGCTCCATCTTCAGGAGGTCTCTCTGCTCCCTCACCTCAGCTTCTTCTGGCTGCTCTGATTTATATGGTATAATATGTGATAAATTTGATTGACATCTAGATCTTTTATAGCTCGATTTTTGAAGTTACCAATGAGGATGCATAGAAGTAGTGATAGGCCCCTGGTAAGTAAATTAAAAGGGAGGCAAAGGAGTAAGGGGTGGTAGCTGGTGTGGTGTTTAAATACTATAAAGTTGAAAACCCGATGATGATAAGTTTCGGTTATTTAGAATCATAAGACAATTAGATGACTATTTAACAAGTTTTAGACAAAATTCAAGTGTAAAAAATTAGATAATTTTATATGGGTGTTAGCCATTGAATCAAGTATATTTATATAAACCTCTCCGTCGCACAAATATATGCGGTCGTGTCTGTAGTTATAGGGTAGTTATAACTATCTACCCTATAGTTCACCAATGAAGTCCTACATGTTACATACTTTATTCATCAAATCCAACAGCCTCTATTCATCTATGTCAGATCGAATGATCCAGATCATCCAAATCGCATAGCAACGCGTCCTCACCTTCACGGCCTCACGCCCTCACACCCCACCTCCCCTCTGATCCCACGCACTACTCCCCCTATCCCTGGGAAATTTAACTATTTGCCACTATTAGGTTTGGCAATTGTCCAAATGCCCTTCTTAGATTTGCACTTATTATTTTTGTTCTTAAGAGGTGGTTTCTTAACTATTTGTCACTTTTGTCCACGTGGCATGCCAATGTGGCAACATGGTGAAAAACAATGTGGGACCCTCTGGTCAGTGTCTTTCGCCCCTCCACTCCCTCAAGGCCTGCGTACTTCCTACACAACAGTACACCTGGCTGCCGATGAGCCGTGGCTGAGGCCGGGCGGATCTGGCTGCTCCGCCGCGAGGCTGTCGCAAATTCACACCTACTCCATTGGGTCTCGAGGCACAGGCCCCTGCACCACCAGGGCCACAGCCTGCTCCAGTGCCATGGTCGTTGCCATCTATCTCGATCTGGAGCCAACCATCATTGAACCATTGAACTTGTTCTGCAGCTAGCCATCATCGAGGTTGATCGGTGCCCACCAGCCCTCACTGAGATCGTGGCTTCTCCAGCCATGTACTCCAGTACTTCTATCATGAAATGTAGCTGTTCTTTTTCTGGCTGTTCATTCAACTCCAGGTTTGTGTACATTATGGCTTTTCTAATTGGTGTTGTCACTAGGAAAATAATAAAAAAAAGAGTTTTATCCATCTGATCTAATGGCGCTGAAAGTTATTTTCTTGCTTACATGAGAATTGCTGATGACATAATAGATTGGAGTTTGTCCCAAGGAGTTGTACTAAATCTTTCTTTGCTCGTGGATGCGTTTTGTTTATGTTTAGTGGTAGGATGGACCCTAGGTTTGAATGAATAATCAATCCTAACTAGCTGAATATTTTGCTTACATCACGGCCCATTTAAGAGCACTTTGTTATGGCAATGGCATACATCTCACATACCATTCTTGGAATCAAAACAGGAAAAAATGCATAACGTGTAGCTGGTGCACTAAATGATCTACTTCCCTGATTATAGTCTGATAATTTAGTGCTTGTCATTGCAGATGATCTTGGTTCTTAGCCAATTGGATCACAAAAATAATGCAATATTCTGGTGCCAAAAAGGTGATTCCCATTTCTCAATTTTCTCAGTTGGACAGGTACCTTAAGTGTAATTCAAAGCACCTCTGAAATCATTGCCTCCGAAACTATTGAATTTCAGTTTATTTTTCCTTAGTCCAGTTTTATAATTCTTGTTTGGCGTTGCTTACATGAAGAACGGTGCTATGCATTTTTTTTTTCTTGAGTAAATTGCACATTGGGCTACACTTTCTTACCAAGGTTTTAATTTGGGACACCCATTGAGCTATGTTTTCACTTTGGACTTGATAATATTTCATTTGGTTGCATCTTGAACCACCCCCACTATTCATCTCTTTCATCTCCTCCTAAACTCTGGCTAGCTGCTGGGATCCAGAAGTGCTGCAATGCGCTCAGCTCTGCTAGCTGGTGTTGAGTTTCGAGCTCAAACTCCCGAGGATGCACACACTGCCACCCTTAAGCTCCTCCCGTGCTGCACTGTGGCCTAGCTTGAGCTCAAGCTCCACCCACAGCTAGGGTGGCACGAGCTCCATCCGTTGACACCTCTGATGCTCAAGCTCCACCGGCGTTGCGCTGCACTCGAGTCAGCTGCCGAGCACCAGTACGCTTTGCAACGCGCTTAGGAAGGAGTGCTTTTCTGAGAGGGTGATGGTTTGACAAGATAGTTGTTTTGAGATTGAGCTGTTTCGCTCAGTAGCGTCTTAGCCTCTATTATATGACTCTTGAGGTTTGATTGTGATGGGTTATTTGCATGAATTTCGTTGGATTGGCATGCATTCTTTGGCAAGCACCCAGGCTTGAGCTTGCATCATAGTTTTTTCTTTGTATATGTTCGTCCGTCCACACTTCGTACACACATGGATGCTGAGCTCAAGCCACTCAGTGCTGGCAGAGCTCGAGCGCGTGCAGCGTCTTTGGGTATTGGCTGGCCGGAGTTCAGGGAGGAGCAAGAAGGGATGGAAGAGATCCCAAAGTTTCACTTTGGACCACCCCTTAACTCATGTTTTCGCTTTGGACTAAATAATATTCCCTTAACCGTTGCATATCTGGTTGAGGTCTGTAAATCATGTTTAGAGAGTTTTGTTAATATTCGATGTTCCATAGACCATAATGTGTAATAACCTTGAGGTTTGATTCTATGACCAATATACATTGCCCCAGTATGTCAAATTTTTATGGTTATTAGACTTGATGTTTTTAGTTAACTGATATGCATCATATTACCAAATGTTGTACCTAAAGTTGGTTCTAATTAATCTCTTTCCTGGCTTTTTTTTTTTAGTGATGCAGTTGGGTTTTATACGTGACAAATGGAGAAATGAGTACAGTAGTAGTAGTTGTACGTAGTTTTATATAAATACCAGAGTGAGATGGCTGGCTAGGGGTGGGTTCCACTCCCAATGGCATGGGCGAACACCGTCCGGTGGGGTGGGTCACAGCACTTGCCATGGCACACGAAAAGTGCGGGCTATGAAAGGTTCCAGAGGCGTCGATGTGAGATCGGACGGTGCATCGGAATGGGTGGGTCCACAAGTCAGTCTCACCGTACCCGTACGTGACAGAAGTGAGCAGTGTATAAATACCGCGAGAGGAGAGGAGATTGCTTGTTGCTACAGTGTTCCATTCACCTTCTTCCTCCTCGCCTCGCCGTGACAAGCGATTGGAGAGCGCCGAAAGGTGAGCAACAAAATCTCTCCCTCTCCTCCTCTCTTCTTCTTCTTCTTCTTCTTCTTCTTCAATTCAATCTGTGTCCTCGCTGCGATCTTCTTGTTGGATGTAGTGCGAGCTGTGTTGTGGTGGTGTTTGCCTGCTCTGCTTATGTATGTGCTGATATCTTCTCTGGGAGATGGATATTTTTTTTCGGGTTTTGGGTGATTTAGTGGTTCTGGTTGGTTTATTTTCGCCGATGAATCGGAAGTGGCGGACGAGCACCGCAATTTCATGGTGATCTCGGTTCGCCTCTCTCCTCTCCGTGCTTGCAAGTTGGAAGTCGACGAGCGAGTCATGCTCGTTCGTTTTCCACCGCGCGCCGGATGGATTACTCTGGATCATCGTGTAATTCTAGATAATTGCTGGTGCATGTGAGTGTGACGACTGAGGTTGGAGAGTAGTTGTGCGTTTGTTTTTGTTCATTCTTGCGTTGCGTACGTGTTGCGATCGATCGGGTTTTGGTTTGTTGCGTACGTGTTGCGATCGATCGGGTTTTGGTTTGATTTTGCCGATGCGCTAGTACTAGTAGTACATGTGAAATGGCCGGGCCCGGGCAGAGGGAGGCAGACGATTTCATCTCCATTATTGTGATCTCCGTTCGCCTAATACCTCGACGAGACGAGCGAGTCATGCTCCTCCTTGGTTGTTCGCTCGTTTGCTTGTTCATCCACTCCAGTAGAGTAGTAGATCGTTCTCACTTGCTTGTCATCCACTCCAGTAGAGTAGTAGATCGTTCTCGCTTGCTTGTCCTTGTTGTCATCCACTCCAGTAGAGTAGTAGATCGATCGCTCCCTGTTGGTCGGGTTTTGATTTTGCTGATTGATACGGCACGGGGGAATGAAGTGCCCTGCCGGCCGCGCCGTAGGGGGACGAGCACCGTGATTCCATGGTGATCTCGTTCGCCTCCCTCTCCACGCGCTGCGCGCTTGTTCTTGCAATTAACGTGTTCTCAGCTCGTTAAGGTGCAAGATTATTTTTACATATGTGCTCTGCTTTGGACCTCTGGTCTGGTTGTGATTGATTGAAATACAAATTGCAAGTGCAGGCGAGAATGGCATGCCCCGAGGCGCGTCTGAATAAGGATTGCAAGACGGCGAGGAGGCTCGGGCTCCCCGTGGAGGTGCTGCAGGAGGGCCAGCCGAAGGTGCTCCATGACGCCGTCGACAACATCGTGGTGAAGGCCGGATGGATTGTGCGTGTTTCAAGCGCCTCCGGGCTGGCGGCGGCTCTTGTTCAGGCGGAGAATCATGCTCCTGCTCCTGCTCCTGTCGATCAGCCTCTTAGAGTGTTCATTGTGCCATACCTTCCTCCAGCGGAGGCGCCTCTCATCCTATCCAAGATCGAACAAGCCTCCGCCGACGACTCTGTACCTGGCTTCATCGTGATCAATCCAAATCTGCTGGAGACCAAGGAAAAAGCCCGGCTGGACATCATGCATGAGATTTCAAGGGTGCAGAACATTCGGGACAAGTACCGTCACCCGTCGTCACCAGCAACAGCAACAGCTCCACTAGCTCCAGCTGATGTACCCAACAAGCCCAAGCCCAAGCCCAAGGACCTCAAGGAACTCAAGGAGCAATATCTGCTTGCTCACTTGGTTGCCGGTAATATGTTCCTTCCGATCTACTCCTTACTTGATGATGTTCATCCTTCTTGTTGAATCAGACTGTTCTGTTTGTTCATTTCATTTCGTGGGATGCTATGTCTATCTTATTAGTCCTTGCCTGATTGATTATTACTTGATGATGTTCATCCTTGTTGTTGATTGTTCTGTTTGCTCATTTCATTTCGTGCGATGCCATGTTTATTTTGTTACTGTTTTGCTTAATACTGCTGATTGTTTCATCCATCTACTACTAACTAGTATCATGTGTTGTTGTTAGCACTAGTGTAATCAGTCTGCAGCTGTCTGTTGTTTGATGGAGTAGTAATTAACTTAATTGTTGTCAACTGCACTCTACTACTGTATGTGGAGTACAACATTATATGATTGCTGGAGTAGTAGTTAATCAGTGATGTGATGGTAATTATTCAAGTCATTCCTTGTGCAGGGCACTGGAGGATGGCAAGCAACATTCTTGAATACGTCGACAATTTTCTGTTCCAATCATTGAGGGAAAAAGATGAGGAGGAAGTGAGGATCGCGATGCAACGGCTTCAAGACGATCTGCAGAAAAAACACCATGGAAGTCAGCACAGTGTCCGAAGGATTGCTCATGAACTACTTGGAATTGCCACAATGAGCAAGTGGGAATATAGGAAGGAACTACCCTTACCGGCAGCTGAGGATGGAATGACTATGAAGAAGAAGCTCAAGTGCCACGCAAAGAAGCTCCGGAAGCTCCTCACCAAGCACACATTGATGGGAGTAGTGCCGCTCGTCTGGGCAAAGCTGGAGCCGATGCCAATGATCACGTCATCCGGGAGAACCATCAAGTCGAACGCGAGATTCACGGGTCCTGAGTGGACCGCGTGAAACTGGGTGTACTAGTAGTAGTAGGATCTATTCTCCTATCGTTTGTTCCCCACATGTTCCTAAAACTTTAGTTAGGTTGGGTGGAAATACATTGCCAGTGTCATGTGCTGAACTGAAATTCACAGCACCAGGTGATAACACAACAGTATCATCATCTGAGTCACCTTATGTGCTGGAGAAAAATGTGCATCCATGGGAGAAGAATCAAGATCATAGACATTGCTAGTTAGTTGATCAAATTCTCCTGGCTCTGGATTATAGATTCCATTTTTGCCGTTCTCATCATCACCGTTGCTTGCTGAAACAACACAATTCTCATTTTCAATATGTCCATTCTGACCATTGTCAGAAGGTGGCATCCAGTTAGAATCCACTCTTGTTAATTTCCCACTGGCCATTGTTGTTTCTTCTAATCCCCAACTTTAGACGACCACTTGTATCTTCAGACAACAGTTCTTTATTCTCGTGCTTTACAATTCCACAGGGGTATACAGAGAGTGCCATCAGGTAAACACTAATATGCACGTGCTAAACGCTACGGTGCGATTTTATTTTGTCCGCAAAACGCCAAGATCAATCTCACAGATTCACTCACACTCCCTCACTTAGTAGTCTGAAGTTTCAGAGTAGAAAAACAGAGGAACTGAAAGAGAAACAGAAAAGAATTTTGTGCAGCGCAACCTTCTGCTGCTTTTTAGTTTTTCTCAATTTATTTTCCTCCATCCAACGGAATTCGTTACATGCAAAACTGTCGCGCCCTAAAGCACCCTAAAATTTTCCTACCTTTCTAATCGGTTCCTAAGAAATTGTAAAAGTCAAATTAGCCCGAACCCATAAAAGGCATCCAGATTCAACTCAAAAGGGGTGTAGGAATTTTTAGTTAAGTTCCCCGCACCTTTGAATGCATAATCCATTTTTACGTGAATTTGCAGAGCACCGGAAAAATCCTTAAGGCAGCATTAACCCCGGTCGGCTTGATTAAGAAAATTAAAATCTGGTTAATCCCTCTTTGGCTTGTGGGCCATTTTTGACCCACTCCCTCTCTCTCTCTCTCTCACTCGGTCCAGTCCAGCCATCCCTCCCCTCCCCTCCCCTCCTCTCCCACCTGGGCCGCCCCGGCCCAACCCCCGCGCTGGCCTGGCTCGGCCCGAGCCGAGCCTCCTACTCCCACCTCCTCCCGCTGATGGGTGGGCCCCACCCATTAGGGCCCCCTTCCCTCTCCGCCTCCTTCCCTCCCTCTCTCTTAGGTGCACCCGACTGCCTCCCGCCGCCCGGCCCACCGCCAACCGCCGCCCCCTCCTCGTTGGAGAGAGGGATGAGTTCCCTACCCTCTCCTCTCCCTTTCCCCCCCATTACTCCCCACAAAATCGCGGCCGGTGGGGAGTAAAGGCCCGCCACCGAGCCGCCGCCATTGATGGCCGCTGGCCGGCCCCGCCCGGCCGTTTCCCCTCCCCGGCTACCCATAAAAAGGCGCCCCGGGCCCCCTCTCTCTGGTTTCCTTGCCTCCCACACGTGTCCGACCCCTCCGTCGCCGCCGCGCCACGACCCCGTGCTCTGCGGCCTCTGGCAACCGCTCGGTGTCGGTCGGGACCTCCCCGAGCGCCGGCGAGGACGCCCCCGGGACCGCCGTCGCCGTCCGCTCATCGTCCGCCCCTCCGTTCTCCAAGGTGAGCGCGAAAACCCTCCCCTCCCCTCCCCTTCTCTCCCGAGCCAGCTTCCAGGCTCTCTCTCTCTCTCTCTCCCTCTCTCTCTCTCCTCCCTTGCGAGCTCGCTGCTGGCGCCCGCGCGCGTGTCCACACCACGCTGCCGCCGCCGCTCGCGTCTATGCCTAAAGGAGTTCATTCCGGTTGATCGGACTACTGTAGTTCTTAGGGCCCAAAGCACTGATAGCAAATCCTCTGGCCATTTTCCCTTTGCTGATCCTTTCAACCTCTTCTTGATAGCTTCCATGATTTTACCATTTGCCCTTTCCACAGCTCCATTTGTCTGAGGATGTCCTACAGAGGCAAAGTTGATTTGCAAATTGAGTCCTTTACACATGTCTTGGAATTTTCCTGACTAAAATTGCTTCCCATTGTCACATACTATTTCCCTTGGGATTCCAAATCGGCACATTATGTTCTTCCAAACAAACTTATGTACTGCTGCGGAAGTTATCCTTGCTACTGCTTCTGCCTCAATCCACCTTGAAAAGTATTCAATTGCGACAATGACAAAGCGCAAATCTCCTTTTTCTCTTGGAAGAGGAACTACTATATCTATTCCGCACCTATAAAATGGCCATACTGGTGGTATTGGTTGTAATTCTTTTGGTGGTGCTTTTGAAGTGGGACCAAACTTTTGGCATGCTCTGCATGTCTTTATATATCTTTCTGTATATTTCATTATTGTTGGCCAATAAATTCCTTGTCTTATTACTTTTGATGCTACTGAACATGGTGCTTGATGAGCTCCACATAACCCTTCATGTATATCCACCACCATCTTCATACCTTCTTCTCTTGTAACATAGTTCAACAGAGGGGCAATAACTCCACTTTTATATAGTTGTCCTTCCACCACTTTATACTTTCGCGAGATCAATTGTATTCTCCTTGCTTCTTCTTCTTTTTCAGGAAGTTGTGCACTAACCAGGTATTTGAGAATTGGTTCTCTCCAATCATCCTTGTTTTCTATGCACAACACCTCTTTCCTTTCATTACTTGGTTGAGCAACCACCTCAAAGAAAGAATTTTCCAGCAGTTGGCCTGCTGTTGCTGCTTTTGCCAGTTCCATCAGCTTCTCCCTTTTCCTCCCTTGTTATGGCTTTTACTGTTATCCCCAAAAAATGTCTCTCATTCAACCTAGCCTCTTCCAAGTACTTAGCTATTGTATCCTCTTTTGCTTCAAAAGTCTTGGAAAAATGACTAGCCACTAATTTTGAATCAGTTTTGATTATTAGATGTAATGCCCCGATTTTCGTTCGGGATTAAAAATCATTAAATAATGCATTTTCTAGAAATTAAATAAAAATTAAAGCAATTTAATCAAGTGAAATAATGAGGAAATTAAAAATTTCCTTTAAAAATCATTGGCTGAGAATATTTTGTAATATTCTTTGTGCCCTAAATATTCTCTGAAATTTTCCCGTGAATTTTCGGAGCTCGAGAAGTAATTTTAAAGTCACAAAGTTCAATTAATCAATTAAATAAAAAGAAAACCAAATAAAATCTCTCTCCCTCCCTCTCCCAGCCTCCCTTCTCCCTCCCTCGCCGACAGGTGGGCCCGGCGACCCCACCTGTCAGCTCCATCCCCAACCTCAGCTCCATCCCCAACCGCCGCCATGGCAGCCCACTCCACCGCCAAATCCGCCACCTCCCGTCTCCCGAGCTTGCATTCAACAGCGTGGACTCGGTCCCCTCCACGTTCTCCACCATTTCCCCCACTCTCCCCATGAAAATCGGCGCCGGTTAACCCCTCCACCACCCCACGTTGGCGCCCTACTTCGCTGGCCGTTTCCGCTCCTCCCGGCCACGATTTCCCTTCCCAAGCGCTATAAAATGGCCCACTCATCTTCCCTCATCCCTTTTTCCCCTTTCCCCGAGCTCCCCACGCCTAGAAACCATTTCCCCGCATCGCTCCCTCTCTCCGCCGTCGCCGGCGAGCTCCGGCCGCCTCTAGCCGCCGCTCTCGCCATCGCCGCGCTGTGCTGTCGCCACCACCGGCGTCGCCGCTCCACACTGCACCCCGGCCCTCACCTTTCTTCCCCTAACCATCGCCAAAACCCCACCGCCTACCGCCTACCACCTCCGGCCGCCTTTCGCCGCCGCTCCCGTCCACGCCGACCCGTGCCATCGCCTCCCTCGGCTCCGCAAGGACAAGGAGATCCTCGGTCGCCGCTCCTCCTTCGCAGATCATCGTCGGAGTCCTATTCACCATGCGAGGTGAGGTCGCCGGTTTTTCCTCTCGCTTTCGGCTGGTGATTCACGCCACCTCGCATCTCCTCTTCCCTTCCTAACCCTTTCATTTCCTTCCCTAGGTACCTCGACCGTCGGCCGCCGTTTCCCGCTCGCGGAATGCCGCCGGACCGCCGTCACCGTTGCCTCCCCGAGGAGCCCGCCGCCGGCTTCCCCATTGCCGTCTCGCCGTCGTCGCCTTGGTGAGCATCCCTCCTCTCCTCCCCGCTCCCTTCTGCCGCTTACCGTGCCACCGCTCGCCGCGCCGCCGCTCGCCGTCAGTGGCCGGTGGCCGTCCGGCCAGGCCACCGTCGCCGCGCTCCGCGCCCGTGCCGCTGCTGGCTGTGTCGGACAGCCGGCTGCTGCCTCCCATTGGTCCCAGCCGCGATCGATCTGGGCCGTCGGATCGGCCTCGGTCTCCATCCGGGCCGCCCGTGTGTCCGCACACGTGGCCGCCATGTCGGTGCTCCGTCGTCGCCACGTGTGCGCCACGTGGTGCGCTAGCCCGTGCCTCCGTGGACTTGGTCCACGGTAGGCCGAAGCCCTTGAGTCACCGACGGGTGGGTCCCGCTTGTCGGCGCCACCCTTCCCTCTCGGTGACATCATAAATCGAGTTTAATTGCGCAATAATTCGTTAATAATTCTAGAAATCCATTTAAATGGCTCAAAACTTCTAAAATTCATATCTAATTCATTCGAACTCCGAATTGAGCCGTTCAACTTGCAAAATTCATCTAAAATTGAGCTCTACATGTTTGTTTACTTTTTATGTACTGTTTGCTTGGTGTTCATTAGAGTTTTTCCTCGTTTTGCATGCCAGCGTGTAGTTCCCGTCGTTTCGGAAGATCGCTTTCACGAGGATCAGAGTTCGGAAGATTATTGTGAAGAAGCAAGGCAAGTCACACATTCCCCTTAAGCATTTTGATCCTAATTTACAAATGTTTATCTTTTGTAAATAAAATTGCATGTCTTGCTAATTACATGGGATCCGGGTATTACCTATTTGTTTGCTTGTGCCATGTTTACTTGATATCTGTCCTTTGTCAACATTGGGTAATAAATCGACTAGCTCATGTTACTTATGTGACCTAGCTAGAACTTTATGCTTAGCCATGCTTAATTACCACTAGCTCAGTTGATGGGATAATTACAGTATTAGACCTTTTTAGTATCAGAATGAGCTGCGTGCTCGAGACATCTGGCCATGCTTCATGGCCGTAATTATCCAACTAAAATGCGACTGAATGGTGGGCTGTGGGTGCATGGTTTTGCTAGTCGCACCCATGGCAATTAAGGACCAGTTCGCGGGAAACCCTGGAAGAATTTATCGTGCTTACCACAAGCCAGCGTGGGCAACGGCTGGGCTTGTAGTGTAGCTTTCCTCTAGCCAACGTACCTAGGCGAGGGTGGGCGTGATGGAGTTGGGTCGGCTGGGTTGTCCGGTTGATCGGCTTCCGGATTCACCGCGGCA